AAGAGAAACCAAACAGCGACGCCTGGCAAGGGTGGGAATCCTCTGCAGGTGAGCCTCACTCACAGAGCACTCTGGGAAGCCGCTGGCACCACTGAGAGCTGAACAGGCACTTGGCCAGGGCCACAACTGTGCTCCTCTGAAATGTCTTAGAGAAAGCTGGCGGGGCACCTGCGGAAATGCACATGGCAGTGCCCACACCACCATTCCTAAAAACACATGAAAAACAGCCCAAGCGCCCATCAGCAGAAAGGCCAAAGGAAGTGTGGGGATAGTGAAACAGCGGACTGTTATACAACTAGATACGACAGGCAGCTGAACAACAAGAGGGGAAAAATCAAGCTGCAGAGACTAACCGAATATGTGATACAGTTCCAAAGGATGCAAAAGTCAGTGACACACCACTCCCTCAGTAAAAAGCCATAGAGCCAGAGGCATGAGAGCCAGGGAAGAGCCGCGTGTCTCCGGGGCAGGGTCTGTGCAGATGTACCTTCAACACCAGGAGTCAGGTTCAAGTTCATGCCAGCACGTTAGCCAACGCTGGCAGGGTTCCAGTTCCTAAAGCTGGGGTGATTATGAGTTTAGACACACATACACGTTACATATATTCTTTTATATGTAACAATATTACACAAAGATATTTAAGAACAATTAGCAATTCCTATCAGCAATTATGTCCACTAAGGGAAACTGTCCAGAAACCGGCCACCCTGCACTCTTTTCTGGGTCCAGCCCCTCAAGGGTTCCCACTGTCTTGCTGGTACCGTGAGCATGGTCACTCACAACAAAGAGACACAGTGTGAACTTCCAGTCATCACTTCTCCTCTTACCTCCGTCACTTTAGGCTGCAGTATTAATGCTTCAGGGCTCATCCGAGGTATGTCTATGTGGATCTGGAAATGCAGGAGAAAGAAACGTTTAGTGAAAAGGACGACAGTATCACTACAAGCACCCTGACTCACAGAGCAACACTTGGTGCTGAGCCTACTCCACCCCTTCCTCTGCACTCTCTGAGGACACTGAGCCATCCCAAATTCTGCTAGGGATGAGGAGTCCAGAAAGCACATGCTATGTGACCAAGGCTTACCAGTCCGAGGGTAACAGGTCTGCCCGATGCTTTCCCAACCAAGCACGGGTTGCTGCATGATTAGGAGCGGAGCAAGCCCTCAGCTATTTAGTAACATAATCCATAGCAATTAGTAAACATTGATTTTCAGCCTCTGACACAGAGAGCAATTCAAGTACATCAATAGTGTGCAGGGTTTCAGCTGTGACAGCGCCTTCTTGGAACACAGGCCACATTTTCTTCTACTTATATGGTCGTTAGGGAGTCTAGGACACTTTTCAAAGGAAGCATTTGAAAGTCTCTGCTGGTGTCAGCCAATTCCTGCCTTGCCACCATCTGACAGGAGTTGTAACAATGTTCCCAACACTGCAAAGGAGGGCACTCTTAGGTTCATGAAGGGACAGAGAGAGCACAGCTGGCATCACAGGCTGGTGCTCACATCCCATCCATGAGAATGCCCTACACCAGCAACTGCCATTGCTCCCATTCTCCGGGATAACAGCAGCACACCAGGCTGAGAAAAGACACAACTAAAACCAAGAGGGACTTTGCAGCTGAATTACACTTCAGATCACCCTTGATGGACTCACAGAGAACCTAATAACCTAGAGACTGGGGCAAGGCCTCACGCTGCACATGCTGGCCTGTGGCTGTAGGTTAACCACTCAGTCTCCTTAGCTATAAAAAGCCCACTCTGCATCCTTCAAAGTGCTACTGGCACAGATCAAGGATAGCTATGGACCTTCAGCCTAAGGAACCAGCTGAGATGCACGTGCATCGATGGCATGCACAGGACTATGTGGGCAGCAACACCAAGCAACCTGGCAGGGTTAGAAGATGCCAGGAGGGCATATGAAGGAGCTCAGCCGCAGGCAGGGAACAAGGCCCACCATGTTGACTACCAGGACATCCTGAAGAGCTACCTGCAGCACACAGCTTCCTGCAGCAACAATCCTGTGGGCACAGTCTGCCCCTGGATAAGCACCACAGGCTCCTGCAAGCCAGGAACAGGGTCTCACCTGCCTCTGTATGCCAGGGCCAGTAGGGCCCATCCTACTCAAGACCACAGGCAACATGTTCACTACATGGCCAGCACAGAGAGCGCCTGTCACACCCCACTCCCTGCCATCACAATAGGAGAGGAACTGCACAGAGCTGGGTGGACAGGACTGTAACCTCTCCCTCCCCCAGCCTGCCCCCAATGGACACAGGCCTGGCAAGTGGGACAAAGGCTACAGTGGTCTATGGAATGACCCAGAGGGAAAGACACACCAAACGAATCTTTAACTCTGAACAACTCTGTATGGCCTTGACAGGACATCTTCAGATGGACAAAGGATAAGGTGCCTGAGGGACATGCTAAGGCCCCTCTGCAGCCCCACTGGAGTGGGACACCATGGCTCTGGCCAAAATGGCCACACGGAGAGAAAGCACGGGAGCTGCTCTAAAAGAAACATTTGCTCACTGCAGAAGAATCAGGCAGACAGGAAAACCTACCACTCCTGACATCACATTTTTTCATTTATATTAATGTAAAAATATTTTGGGAATTCAAAATAATATGGGCTCTTTTTATTACCTACTGCAGTAACTAAGTAAAGATGTGTGCAACCTGTCTGTAATTAACTTTCCTTTCAGCAGTTCATGACAGAATGCAGCCTGGTAAATCCTGCTGGTAAACACCAGTGCTATCCTTTGTCTTTTCCTTGAATAAAAATACATCAAAACATGTGCAAAATAATATCAAATGTATCCATTTCAAAAGACCAGTGACGTGGGAACATCAAACAGGTGAGCTACAATTTCCTTCCCCAAATCCAGACACACTCTGCACTCACTCACTTCCCTGGGTTCCCAGGCGGTGGCCCAGTACGGCCAAAGAGCCCCCAGCGTGAAGCAGAAGCACCCGCTGGAGAATGGGCAGCAGCACGGGCAGGGCCCCCTGGAGGGGCTGGAGGGGCTCTGGCCTGGCTTCCTGCAGCTGCTCTCCTCCACAAGTCACCAGGCGTCCAGGACCAGTGGCATCCTGCTGACAGGAAGACACTTTCCAAAGAATCCACTTAACCTGAAGAACCTTTGACTACGAATCAGAGTTAAGGCCTCTCTTGGGACCTTTCCAACAGATCTACACCTAAGCGACGAAGAGAAGGGGATATCCCACATCTAGGGTGGAGAAACTTGGCAAGATTCCTCCACAGAGAAGCAGAGCTTACAAAGAGAAACATTCAGCACCGATGTGCCTCAGGGAAACCAGGAGCTTGTGCGGACACAAGACAAAGGAACCGATTAAGAACTACCACTCTGAACTTTCACATACTATACAGAGTAAGAATTATAAAGTCCTCAAAGAGCTATTCTAACAGCAAATTTTGGATGTGCTATGAATTGTAAATCATTTTTAAGTGTTTTTCCCATTATAAACATCATCTGTCGAGACTGACTGCTTGAGAAAATGTAATTATACCCATTTTTTATCAAATTAACTAGCAAAACGACAAACTGGCAAAACCTTTAGCCATGGACTGAGCAGTGTCACGCCGGAACTAAGGTGATTAAAACACCTTTCACCTATCGGCACTCATACCTAAGTCCCCTCACCGTACCTGGGAGCATAATGCCTTACAGCCCATGGGGCCTCCCTGTCAGGCGCCGGCGGGCTCCTACCCTGTGCTAACCGTCCTTAATCCTCAGGCAGCAGGTCTCAGAGATGCCAAACGGCCACCAGCAAGCACTCTGAGGTGGATATCCTGCTAATCAGACAGATCTCAGGCATCCATTTTGTACTTCTAATTTCAAATATCCTTTTTTACTTTTGCACAAGGAATGCCACGTATTATCATTAGAGGAAATTTACCATTATTGGTTTTCAGATATATTTATTTATGAGAAAATAAAAATCTGTGAACCAATCACAGACAAGATGAAATACTTCCTACACCATCACCAAATCAAAGTCTTTCAAGAGACAGAAAAGAAAAAGGACTCCCACCTGTCTGTATGTGTCTTGGTGAACTTCGTCATTCCTAGAATCATAATAATGCTCAATAAAAGCAAAATATTCTTTCTGTTTTCTCTCAAGAGTGGCTGGCCTTCGGTCAACATTGGCAGGAAGGTAACCCTAGGAGAAAAGAAAAGCAAATAAATACGCATATATGGCTACTGCTCACTCACAGGGCCATGATTAGAAAAGGGAAATAAAAAGGTTCACATCTATGTTAAATGAAATAAATCGGACACACAAGCTTACATATCACATGGTTTCTCTTACATGAGAAACCCAAAATATAAACAAAGCAATAAAAAACAGGGAGATAGATCTTGTGCTGAAGGAAAGAGGACCAAGAGATGGAAGGAGAAGGAGACGGAGGGAAGGGGATGAAAAGAGAATTAAGATGTGCTCTGTCCAGGTACCAACTCCCCACAAGGAATGTAATCACTGTGCACGGAAAATATGCACTATAACAATGAAAAACAGAATTAGCAGGGAGGGGCTCACATATGAAATGAGCCTGATGGCTCTGAAATCCCATACACGGAGAAGCGAGAACATCAGGCAGACCTGTGTCCAGGGTGTCAACAGCCTCCACGCCCCCAGCAGGTCCACATTACAGCCAGTGAGGGTCAGCTGGGACGTGAGGCCTCCTACGGCCTAGCTGGAAAATGCAGCAACCCCTCCTCCCAACACCTTACAGACTGTAAGGAACAGGAGTCTGTGCGGCCTCACGCTTACACCATGCGAGTGTGTGTTCACACACATATGCATGCAAACAAAGCTGCCCTTAGGCAAACCCGTACCTACTCCACAAAACCTCCTGGGATTCTGGCAGCTGCAGATGTAATATACACAGGGTTGGGTGCAGATCCAAACAGGGATGGCCACCCTGGAGGGCAGGAGGAGCCCAGAATGCCTAGTGTTTTCTAGCGGAGGGGTTGTTTGTTTCTTTATTCTGTTTGTTTGTTTGTTTGTTTGTTTGTTTTAAGTTAACACTACTGGTGTATAATTTACAAAACAAAATGCAACCGTTTTAGGTACATATCTATGATCTCTGATGACGGTATCAGCTGTGTGACCGCTGTCCAGGAAGGTGTGGGGCACCCCCCAGGCCCTGCGTGCTTGTCCGTGCCCACTCACCCTGGCGTGGGGTGGTGCCACCTCCTCCCCACAGAAGGCAGGTCTGTCTGAGACTTGCTCAGGATTTTGTGCACACCAACTCCTGAGATTCTGCTACGCCGCTGCATGAACCAGGACCCTATTTCCTTCTGCCTTCCAAGCAGCAATGAGCTGCAAGGATGTACCAGTTAAGCCACTGGCCTGCTGGTGAGCACGCAGTCTGCTTCCAGCTGGGGGCTATTATGAATAAAGGTTATTACCAATAATTCTTATATGAGATTTTTGGAAATATGCAGTTTTTTATTTCTCATGGTCTACTACAACTATACCTCAGTTCACAAAAGCTTTTATTTGTGATCAATTTGGTCACAAACGGAGGTGTGTGGCAAATTTTTGTTTTTGTTTGTGGGGAACACAATCACAGCCAGTGGTGGCAACCCTATGGCACTCGTGCCACAAGGCCGTTTGTTATCATAAGCTCTAAAAGGCTCACCAACACTGACCATGGCCGGAACATGAATGTGGCCATCTTTTCCAGAATTGTGGAACAGAATTAAGTTCATGCACCACGGTACCTGGGAGTGCAGTTACTGGATAATGTGGGTTGATGTTTCATTCTCTAAGAAACTGCCAGATTCCATTTCAAAGAGCAACACTATGAGAATCCCTAATTCCCCTCCAACACTTCAGAATGTGACTCTTTTAAATGCTAGTCATTCTGTTGGGTGTGGTCTTGATCCATCCACCAGTGATTAATGACACGAATGTCTTCACAGAGCCAATGCGTCTCTTCTTAGGTGAAGTATTAATACCAGCCTTCCACCCACCTTTAATCACAGTGTCTGTCTCCTCACTGAGTTGCTGGGCTCAGCACACATTCTAAATACAATGCTCTCTTTAAAATATATATATTATATGATAATACCCCCAGTCTGTGATTTCCTTTTCATACTGCACTCAAGTTTTAAATTTGAAGTCCAGTTCATAATGCTTTTACTTGTTTAGTTAAGTGTTTCCTGTGTTCTATATAAGGAAGATTTTCTCTCTACTTCTTCCCACAAGTTTTCAAATTCCGCCTTTCTGCAGGACAGGTCCAGATGGGGAAGAATTACACAATACCACCACCCCACTGGACACAGTGCTAAACAGGCTTAGGCATAGAAAGGACCCAATGCAGGTATAACAGCCAAGCCTGGGACTTTTCTCTGCTGCTATGACTTGAAATGAGTGTGGACAGCCTGGAGATGAGGCAGCCATGATGTGACCACAAGGCAGAACCAGGAACTACAAGTCCACCAAGAAAAACACAGCTGGGCCAGGGATGTAGCTCAGCAGCACTGCACCTGCCCAGCAAGCACAATGTCCTGAGTTCGATTCCTGGTACCCAAAAAAATTATGAAAAACGGAGATCAGTGTTGCCAGACCTTGACAATAAAATACAGCTAGAATCCAGCTGGATCTTCAGTTATTCGAGCATATACCTTTTAGATCCCTTTGGGCGTTCCCATCAGCAGCCATTATATATGACAAACAAGTACAGTCATGCATCATGCTCTGAGCAATGTACGCTTAGGTGAGTCTTCTATCATGAAAACTTCACAGCTTGTGCTTGCACCAACTAAGATGGCCACAATCTCACCAGGCGACACAATTCTACGTGGCCACTGTCCTACACGCACTCACAACATCACCCTGTGGCACATAATTATATAATATGCACACAGAAGAGCAAACCCCCAAAATGGGTGAGCTCACCAACTGCACACGCCTGCACAAATACCACCCGGGTAGGAGTCAGACACCTGGCCCTTGAGACTCTCAGGAGGCTCCCATGCTCTCCCTGACCTTCACCTCAAAGAATTGGAATTGTTGCTCTTCATGCAACATTACGTGTGGAAAAATGATTCAGGTTATAACAGGAAACAGCGATACATTTTCACTGTCCCCTAACACCTCCATGTACAGAATCCATTCTAGTTTCCAGCTTTTGCTTTAAATATCTTTGTACCTATATTTTATAGCACAAGACACACATCTCTGTCAGGTACACATCTGGGAGTGGAATGACTAGGCCCACACACCTTTAAAAGCGGTCGCTAAACAACTCCTCGAGTGATTACACTCCCATCAGAAGTGTGCGAGGATTTCCACTCCTCCCCATTCGTGCCAACACTGGGAGGGTCACACGTCCCACGGCAGCTTGTGGTAAGAACCGGCATTTCCCAGGGGAGCAACGAACGCCGCAGCGTGGCTGATCTGTGGGGTGCATTCAGGTGCAGCCCCTTTCTGTGACGTTGTCTGCCTCCTTCCGCACCCCCAGGCCCCAGTCCCACAGCCTGCCTGCAAGCCCCGGGGAAGTATCCTGTCCACCTCCTAAGTGGTGTCGAGAACGTCTTTTGATGAAGAAAGGCCTGCTCAACAGAGCCCAATTTGTTAATCTTTACAATTAGCCCTTTTCATGTACTTTTCAGGAACGTTTCCTTCATCCCACATTCCATGCTGACATATTTCGTTTAAAATCATGAGCAAGTCCCCAGTGTCACTAAGTACAGATCCACACCAGGGATCAGCAAACTATAGGCCACTATTTCTATAGATACAATTTTGCTGGAACACACCAAGCCCATGTCAGTGTCTGGTTTTCTACCACAGCAACAGCCTGCATGTTTGTAAATGAGACCGCTGGACCCACCAGCTGGAGTATTTAGTATCCAGACCCTTACAGAAACAGTGGGCCAAGCCCTGCTCTGACACAGGAATCCTGAAGGCTGCATGGCCACCATCATGGGGGCTTATGTGTAAAGATACGTAACCTGTCTCCTACTTCAAAATACGTTGACTCTTTAAAATTGTCAGCTAGCAGGATCTGTTAATTCCTGAGATCAGATTCCTACTAGTGAACTGTTAGCTGAAAGGGATAGCTACCAGGGGTGACTGAAATACACGATGAATATTTGTTTTCAATTATGACCACAAAAGACACTGCCATTAATCCCTCTCAGAGTCCGCCCCTCGCTTCAGACTCGTGTATCCACCGTTCTTGCCACTTTCTGCAGCAGTTCTGGACTCCTCTTCCGTGAGTGTCTGTAGTTGCATTGTCATGGTTGTCTCGATACTCTGCATCCATTCAAAATGTTTCCCTTTCCTGCTCTTTTGACTGAGAAACAGCCAGAAGTCACCCGTTACCAGATGCGGTGAATGTAGCATTCTCAGAAGCCTGCCTTTCTGCTGATGGCGCTCAGCAGCAGAGCTCCTAAAGACACTCATGAGAGAAAAGACCTCCACAACTGCTTCAGACAGCAGCAAGAACGATGGGATGAGTGTGTTCAGAGGGGAGGGCCAGTATTTTGACGGAGTTTCATGGCAAAGTGTTTTTTATTATAATAAATTTTTAAAACTTGAACACTAATCTTGTGATCACACTGCATAGGTCTTCAAGGCTCCTGACGCCCAAGAGCCCATTCCCAAGCAGCCCCAAGAAAAGGAGAAGAAACTGACACCCAGCAGCCTCGTCACACCCTGGTGCCCTCCACTGTCAGCCACGGTGATGTCACCAAAAAGCACTCAGTTAATTACACTATGCTGGAGAGCTGTACCCACCACAAAGTGGCCCAGCTGACAAAGTGAGGGAGGTGGTCAACCACAGCCGAGGCAGGCCAGGCTGGGGCTGCTCCTCTGGATAAGGGAGAGATACTGGTGCTGAGCAACCACAACAGCAATAGCCAATTTGCAGTGCCCGGCCGCCTGGCACAGGTGCTGTCAAGCATGACCCACCTGGGCATCCACCTGGGCATCCACAGTCCCCAGTAACTACAGAGCTTTTCCGGGCTCTCCACTTGGCACCAGGAATAGGGATGCCTCACACGGACCACAGCACAGACCAGACCAGACGGACCAGGCTACAGGCCACTCTCCAGTCCTCCCACCACCACACTTCGCTCCTCAGTGCCCATCCTCCTGCTCTTGTCTCACTGCTTTTGTGCCACCCTCTCCGTCATCCATGCCACCTCACTGGGGCAGGGACTCTGTCTGGGCTGAGACACAATGGCAACATACACTGGCCTGGAACAGACAAGATCTCTTCACAGAAAGAAACTGGATTGTGCCTCCAGGAACCCTCGAGCCTCCCCTTCCTTCCTGCAAGTCCCGGCTCAAAGGCCACCAGTCCTTGAGGCCCTCTGTACCGTCCACAGAACAGCAGCCTGCCCCAGGAGCTTTCTATAGCACCTATCACCTTCCATCAACTTCACGTACATTTCCCTTTGTCTCCTCCCACCACAGTGGGAGCTTCTCCCTTTGGCCAACAGCTCTCCCCCATGGGCTTAGAACCCCCACCCCACCCCACCCCCCCACTCTGGCCAACAGCTCCCCCCCATGGGCTTAGAACCCCCACCCCACCCCACCCCACCCCACCCCCAAGCTAACTCTGACCAGCACGTGACCAGCAATCTTGGTTCAGTTTGGTCTTGATGTTGAGGAAGATGTGGGGAGAGAGAAGAGACAAAGTGTGGAGTAGGCAGGAAGCATGTCCAGGACAGACCAGGCCCAAAGCAGCCTGGCAGACAGCAGGCATGTGCCATGTGCAGCAGCCAGAGTGGTGCCAGTGTGCCCGGCCAGGGTCCAGCTGCCATGCAGGACAGCCAGGTCTCCAGGGTGTCAGAGGGAGAGTGCAGACCCTGGTACAGAAATGGGGCAACAGGGTAAGCACTCTTAGAAATGTTTCCTGTTCCTCAAATTTTAACTTAGCTCACTGCAGCCCAAATCCTAAAAGGCACGTATGTCATCACGGGAACATAATCGATAAAAAGCCCCACACATACTCCTGACATTCCCATTCCTAAAGGAAAACACACATACGCAAGTTGAGGCCTTTCGATAATTAAGCAAGACTAGAAATTATGCAAATGAAATATATTCAAGTATGCAATGAATTTTAAATGACAGAACTACAGAAAACTTAATTGCTATATTAGCATGCTATAAAAACACTAATCATAAATGTAAAACAATGCATGCATATACTTATACCTAAATTGTCCCAGTGACACAAAACCCGACTGTGCCCTCCCACCATGCTCATGTGAAACCCTCCTCAACGCACTGGAAGAGGGTGAGATGAACCTGTGGTCGCACTTATCATTCTTCATCATTATACTCACTAACATAAATGTTAAATGTTTAATTAGATTTTTTTCCCAGTACTGGGAATCAAACTCAGGACCTTGTGCTTCCTAGGCAGGCACAGTGCCACTGAGCTACATCCCAGGCCCAATTAATGAGTTTTTCTTGCTGCTCAAATAGTTATTAAAAAGAAAGCCAAAAATACGGTTCTCTATAGCACTAATTTTTTTTTAATGGTACTAAGCTGGTTGTGTGGAATTTAATTGCTAAGTAGCATGACTGGTGGCTTAATGGCATGCTCAGGATAGAGGACGCGTGATGCTTCTTTAGAAATGGCAGCCATGTAGGAAAGTAAGGTGCCTCCATGAAGCTCTTGCAATCCCAATGTGATGGGAAAAGCCCTTGGTACACTGGGAACTGAGGCGGCTTTGGTTACCTGTCACAGGAGGAGCTCCCTCAGCCCGTGTGCCTCTCCATCTCTCAGTCCTGGGATGGGCAGAGCTGACTTCCTACTCGTGGAGTCACCTGGAAAACCTGCGCAGGCTTCTGGCCTATCATGCACACCTCGACCGCCCAACCCAGACCCCACCGTGCGCCTCCGGTCCCTGGTGCTCTGCCATCATGGGGCACATGACTGCCAGTGACCAGCTTCCCAGCCGACTTGTGCATGCCCTGATCACTGCCCTGTATGAAGCCCAAGTGTCCCAGAGCCTCTAGATCTGGACGAGGAGACCTTCCAGGAGCCTATGGCTGAGCATTTCCCAAGCTCCCAGACAACACTAAGGCTCAATCAAGATGGAAAAGCCCCATTCTTCAATAGGTCCTGGGGACCCTCAGAGTTGTAAAAAACCTGGAAAAGGCATCAGGAGAAACCCCTACTGAATCAGAGGTGAATGAATGACACCACTCTCACGCCCCCCACACCCTTGATGAGTGGGGAACTGTACCTGGGAGCAGCCACAGGGCCAGAACCACTAGGTAAGAGTCACCAATTGATACCCAGCAGAAAGAAAGTGCTCTGCTTCTGCAGAAATCCATGCATGCACCTGGTCTGCTCCCAGAGAGCACTCGCACCAGGTAAAGGGGCAGGCACAGGGCAAGCAGAGCGAAGGGGGACAGGAACAGGGCCTGAGCAAAGAGGTCCCTTTCCACGCAGTAAGGGGTATGATGGAATGGCAGGTGCTCTCCTCTCTGCTCTGCAGGCAGGGGAGCAACGGATGGACTTGGTCTTCTTTCCCCACCACCACTCCCCAGCACTAAACCCAGGGCCCCATGACTCTCCACGGAGTGACTGCGTGGACCACCAGGGGACCTCCACGGCCCTGCCTTCCAGGACCAGCTTCATTACTCCCAGAGCCAGTCTTCAGGACAAAGCCCAGGTGACCTCCGGGTCTGGGGAGTGACTGTGGCCTGGACTCCTCCTGGGTCCTCCTACTCCCCTGGCTGCCCATCCGGCCCCTTCTGCTGGGATCTGAAAGTGACAGCTTGTCTCTGGTCTTACGACTTTCCAGGCCCTCCCCCGGGAACACCACAGTCCCTCCAAAATGCCAGGAAAGCCCCTACATGGAGCGGTGGCCAGGGTCTATTCCTCAGTCTCCCGAGCAAAGTCCCCTATGATCAGTGACAGCTAAATAAATGCACCTGAGCACACTGGGTTTCTCCAGCTGGCACTGCCAGGGCTCCTGTGCAGAGGCTGCAACATCTACCACCCTCCCATCCCCACTGATGAATGGGGCATGGCTGTCACTGTCTCCCTCTGCTCCGCAGCGCCCCTTTTCAGGCACTTCCTGGCATCACAACTATCACCCGCACAGACTGGCAAGTAAAAGAAAAGAGCAGCACAGAAACTCTCACATAAAGACTTCCTACCCACATGCAGCATCCCCAATAAACATAAAGTTACAAAAAAGGATCTTCAAGGTATTTTCACCAAAACATTTTACAAACCAATCTGAAGGGCTCATCCCCTCTCTTGGAGGACATTAGGATAACTGGATATAAATGCTCAAAATAAAAAGCACAAAACAAAAATATAAGCAATCACAGCAGGTATAATTTTAATTGCAAGAGAATATTTAATCAATAAATATTCACTGTTCAGAGCTGCATCTGCATTTAGGATTATGAGGTACTAAGCTGCAGATTTATTAAGACTCATTAGCAGGAAAGAGTCTCTTAAACACTGCAGTCAGACCCAATTTAGAGCAGACACTTTAGGGTTCTCTGTTGACTTATCTCCAAAAACAATAAAAAAGGAAAAGAGAAGAAAGCTGTCTGTAAACTGCTCTGAAGTTTTCTGAGAGCTGAACTCATTTCCAATATTAAACTGGGGTTAACTAAGTACATGAGGGTGTGCGGGTGACCAGTACCACCCATTCGACTCTTCCAGAAGGGTATCCAGGGAGGCAGCCCGCTACGAGGCCTGAGGGGCGGACCCCACACTCCACCACAGAGACAAACTACTTCTCACAGCTAGACACTCTCAGATAACCCCTTCTCGGTCTCCCTCCCTCCACTCCCTGGTAATTTCCCTCTCCCTCTCTCTCTCTCTCTCTCTCTCTCTCTCTCTCTCTCTCTCACACACACACACACACACACACACACACACACCCTGATGAACCGCACATGCCCAACTTCTCAGAGTGACCTGATACACTTCCTACAGCACAGGTTTGGCTATCCTATGATGATTTTTTTTTAAACACTAAAAATCAGATGAGAAGAACACAGCTATCAAAAAGTATTGCTAATCCTCACTTTCTGCCAGCCTCGTCAAATCAGTCATAAAACTAAGCAAAGTGTGGACAATGCCATCTTGGCCATGGCAAAGCCCTGGGTCACCATGTGACCATGACGGGCAGCACGAGGCACAGCTGGTGGCCACCTTCAGCAGCTGGGCAGCTGGGCAGCTGTCCTCATGGGAGAAAGGCAGCACACTGAGCAAGAGACTTACTGAGAGAAGCTTCCAGGTCATTGGGCGAACTGGCTTAGGGATTCCGGACCAGCTCAGCTTCCGTAACTCCTCTGTGGACAAGAAAAAAGAACAATGAAAAACGAGAGTGTACAAAAGGTTAGCATCTTCCCCAGTTCCCCAACATATTCCACCAAAGTTACTGGGGGTGGGGGATCCAGAATAAATCTAAATGATAAGTATCTCAGAGACTGACTTTTTTGAGGGGTGTCTTTTGAGACAAAGTCTCACCATCTAGTTCAGGCTGGCCATGACCTCACTCTGTAGCCCAGGCTGGCCTGGAATTCACAGGGATCCTCCTGCCTCAGCCACCCAAAGTGCTGGGATGACAGGTGTGTACTACTAAAGCCAGCTGATTGCTTGTAAGATATGGGAGAAGGTAAGTCAACACTCTGTTCAAACAAAGCTAAATGTTATCTGCTGGCATCAAAATCTCAGAGTAAGCATTTGCAAAATGCACCCAAGTGACCCAGAGCCTGGGCCAGTGAAGCCCCACATTCCCTTCAATAGTGAAGCCCGGGGCACAGCCTCCTTCCCTCCAAGGGACTTTTCTCTGTCCCTCCCCTAACCCCCAACATGTGTCCGCAGACCAGCCACCTTAACTGGCTTCCCCTTTCCCGCTTTCACCCGTCACTCTCTCCCACTTACAGTTTGATACCTACAGGCCATGGCTTTCTCTGTGTGGCTTTAGAAGCTGTTGCTTTCTGAGATAAGCTGATCTTTACATAGCATTAACTAAGGCTGTGCGCAGCCAGGACAACGCGGCTTCAGGGCAGAAAAGCACAAGTCAGAACAAAACCAACAGGTGGGAAAAGGCAGGAGCAGCAGGGCTGGCCAGAGAGGAGACCGGACCGGGCACGGCAGGGGGTGTAGGGCAAGGGTAAGGGGCTCCACATTCTACCTGGCCTCTGTGCCCCCAAGATCCCTGTCCATACACCCCGGACATCTGCAGAACCTGGGCCACATGCAGGTACATCTACACACGCTCAGGACCACTAGACAGAATTATTCCCTTCACTGAGTGAGAATCCACCATTAGGTTCTTCTCCTAACAGCTCTGAGCCAATGATTAATACTAAGAATAAAAGAAATGATTAAAGAGAAGACTTTGGTAATATAATCAACAAAATACAAAGTTTTGACATCTAATCTTTTTCCAATTACTAAAGTCTAAGTAAAGTAAGTACAGAAAAATTGGGCAATGGTATCAGCAATAACTTGCATTTTATAGCAATCTCAGAAAAATATCAAATCTTCCCCAGCTCCCTCAGGATATTATGAAAAGCAGGAACCTAATATCTGAACACCAATAAGGTAATGTTTACCAATCATGTTCCCGGAGCCTCTCCCTCTCCCTCTGCACAGCTCTGTTTCTGTTTATGGTTTCAGGGAAAGAAAAAAAAAAAAAACAGAGAAAACTGGCTCATTAATATCCTCTGAATCCATCTCCTCATTAAAAGGAACTCTTAAAAAGTCAAAAATCTTGAATATACAGCAGGAAACACAGTGCTATCCTTGTTTAAGCTTTAGTGTTTAAAGAACATTTTCACATGTAAGATCTTATTTGATCCCAGGAACTGCTTGAGTTCATCAGGGATGTGAGTGCTGCTGTGCAAATGAGAAACGGTCTAAGGGAGGCTGCGTGACCAAGGCCACACAGGAACTCAGTTACCTTCAACGCCAGGGTCTCTCCACTGTGCTAATTCTGATTCTTAGAAGAACTTTGTGACAGACACTCTCACTTATGAATACAGAGATCTAAACTACAGATCAAAATAGTAGGATAGCCAAAGAACAGTACACACAAGCAGGATTTCCTCCAACAGCAATAGGATGGTCCAACATAGAAAATCTCGTTGCCATACCATGTGCTCAATTAGGTTGATGGAGAAAAGCCATCTTGACAGATGCCCAGGACTTGACAGATGCCCAGGACAGACTTTCACCCCGGGCCCAATCACCCCTTTCTGGCAGAACTGCAACAGTGCAGAGTGATTTCCTGCAGCCTGGGGGGAAACTGAACCCACCTCACCCCACCCCAAAAGGTGTGTCTGAGTGGCACTCTATGCAGAGATAAGCAGGCCTCAGAGTGGCTGTGACAAGGTGGACCTGGGACACCACCTGAGCCATTGAGCAGGCAGCACTCTCTGGGGCTTCTGGAAACACTCTTGCTCCTGGGGACCACTTGGAGGCAACTTTCTCTTCCTTCCTCTGAGAGTGCCATGGTCAGACAGAAGGCTCAGGACCACGGCAACCATCTAGTGCCCCATCAGGCAAGAAACAGAGGTCTAAGCTACTAAGCAGGATGGCCAAGTCCAAGGACTTTCCAAAATCAACAAATTTTCTACTAGCAAGAAGAGAAACAGACAATGTCATAGGCTTCATTTAAAGAAATACGAAAGAGAAAAAATTGCCAAGTTCATCGTTACAGTTTACATCAAGAATGTTCCCTGAGAGCATTGTGCACTCATAGGCAGGGCTTTGGGAAGAGGACTGGACCAAGGGGTACAGAAGCTGATGTACCATTAAGAGATGGGGCTGGTTAGCCAGCTGGCTGCATGGATGGCTAGATGGTTGGATAGATGGCTGGTTGGCTGGCAGGCACAGGTGGATGGATGGACAGAGGGATGGATGGACAATGAATGGATGAGGTATGGGCAGACAGATAGATGGATGGATAATGAATAGATAATTGACTGGTTAGCTGCCTAGTTAGCTGGATGGATGGACGGACAGATGAATAGACAGACAGCCTGTAGCCTGTTGGCCAACTGGTGGCTGGCTAGCTGGTTGGTTGGTTGGTTGGTTAGCTATGGTTTGTTGGCCATTTAGCTGGCCAGCAGGCTGATGGGAGGGTTGGCTACTTAGCTGGCTGGTTGGCTGTTTGGGGCAGTAATAATATTTTAAGTATAATTTTTATGTAAAAATATTAACACAGCCCCGCCAACAAAAATCTAGACATTTCTATCACTTTTTTCCAGTAATCCTGAACTAATGACCTTCTGATACCTGCTTCACCTGTCATTACAGATGAGTTTGCCTGTTCTCGCAATTCATATGAACATCACATGCAGTGATACTTTCCTGAACACTTCTTCTTTTGATCAATATGTGTCTATAAAACTCACACATGTTGCAGGTACCAGTAGTTCATTCATTACAAGAAGAAAGAGTATTATATTCTGTGAACATAACACAATTTGCTTACATATCCACCCATTCATACACATCTTGGGTGGTTACAAGTTTAACCCATAAAGAAGCTACTTCAAACATTCTTACAGATGTTTTCAATCCTCTTAAGCAAATATTAAGGAGTGGAACAGATGGATCAGAGGGTTGATGTATGCTTTTATGTAAAAGAAAAAAGCTACTTCAAAGTGGCATCATTCTACTCTACCCATCAGCAATGTACCAAACTTTCAAGTGCTATACAACCTGGTCAAAATTTAGTGTTATTGATCTTTCTCATTTCTTATTACTTGGTATCACATACTGATTTGAGTTAGTAATTGTGTGATGACCAACAAATGTTCCTTGAACAGATTTCCAGGTTATCAGCCACATCTGTTTGTGAAGTATAGTCATCATTTACTGGTACCTATCTTTTACCGAGCTATTGTTCATAGTTTTGTTGCTGTTGATGATGATCCGTGAGCCTGTTTCTAATGACTGGTTTATCTTCTTTCTGATTCTGGATCACGTGCTCCTATTTTATTGCAGGCTGGTTACTTTTCTGTTGAATGCTCGATGCTTCAAGTATCAACTGATCACCTCTATGATAACGGGGCCATGTCTTGTGAATGTTTCTCCTCTGGCAGCTGGTGTGATATCCTTTCCAGTAGAGGTTGCTGGAGGGCACAGTGGAAAAGAGGCTTTTTCTCCCAGGTTCTCACTCAGCTTGTCTGCAAGCCTCCCACAAGTGCTCGCTCTCTCCAGACCTCGGTTCCAACAGCACCGAACACTGTTCCACGCACTGCTTCCTGGTGTCTTTCCCCAGTTCATAGAGTCTTGCCCCACTCTCAGGCAGACAGACAGGTACTTGGCCAAGGACTTGACGGCAGCCTCAGCATGCATCTGGGGCTCTTCACGTAAGTCCCTCTTCTCCAGCCTCCCAAACTCCCTTCCCCAATTCCTCAATTCAGCAAGAAGCCGGGTTCATTCAGGTTCCCTCTAACTGTGCAGCAGCCCAGAAACTGCCTCGAAGTAGAAGCTGAGTGACAGCAAGGTTCCCCTTTTTTATGGCCCTTCTCTCGAGCCACAGCCCTTCACTGCATAGTTGTTCCACACATTTGGTCCAGTTTTCTAGCTGTTTACAACAGAAGAGCTATTCCTTTGGCAGTTAATCCTCCTTGGGTTGAAGCAAAAGTCAATTGGCCAACATTCTAAAACAACTTTTGTCCATAGTTATCAAAATGTTGATGTCTGATTTCTTTAGGGTTATGCTACCTTAAAAAAAAAAATAACTGGAGAAGTATTTACTCTTCTTCTCTTCTAAAGGAGTTCTTAGAAGACTGGTATTATTTCTTCTTTCAGTGTTGGGGAGAGCTCATAGTAACTAAAGCTATCTCACCCTGACATTTTCCTTGTGTGAAGGCTTTTTCATTGCAAATTTTATTTCTAAAATCAATAAGGAATATTAAATTTTTCTGTTTCTTCTTGTATCAGTGTTATTAAGCTATATCTTTCAAAGACTGCGTTCTTTTCATGTAGGTTCTAGAATGGACTGGCATAAACTCCTAAATAACTCCCCTTACTATCTTTTTAATGTCTACTGGATCTGCAGTGGTGTACCCCCTTTCATTTTTTAAACTGGTAATTTGTGTCTTCTCTTTTTTCTGCTGATTTCCACCTTTAAGTTATTTTCCTTTTACTTGGTTTTGATTAGTTTCTTAAGATAGAAATTTTGATCATTAATTTAAAACTTTTTCTCTTTTCTCAAAGACATTACAAGCTGTTAAATTTCCCCGGAAAGTACTATTTTAGCTCATCGCACAGTTTTGGTATGTGCTGTCATTATCGTGGAGTTCAAAACATTTTCTAATTTTCTTTG